TAGCCGTGGATATAAAACGATGCTCAAAAATATGCGATAGTTTATATAGCGCCGAGATAAAAATAATTCTCAACTTTCATTCGAAACTTAGATGGAAGAATATCGACCTTCTCCAACGAAATGTCTCGAGCTGCTTCCACGTTCCTGTCGACGCTTGGCACTTAGCCAAAAATGTCTCCTCGATAGATGAGAGAGTTATTCGGAGGACAATGCACTCGTCTAAGATCCGACAATGCATTATCCAGTCCGTCATCTCTCTCACTCTGTGAATTTCTTTTAATAAATCATCAAAAGATTCCATCGAAATCGATGGCGACAACGCTTATATCTAATCAACCAAAATAATAAAAAAAAATTTGAGCCTCCATATATCTTCCTTTGACATATTAAATAAATTAATCTCTTTTGTTAAAAGACATATCAGCTTTTAATATTAATTGTGTGTAAACTCAACATTAATTTCATAAATGATTTATAAATCATATATCGCGAATATATATAACAAAAACACAACTCCCTATAATATAAATAAAGTTAAGAAAATTAATTACTTTACTATCAAGAAAGAATGATATTTTTCGACTTATCGTTAATTTAGAACTTGTGCAGGAACAAAAAAAAAATATAAATCCATATAAATTATACATGTAAAAGAAAAAAAATATCTCAATCAAAGTTTACAAAGAAACAGCGACTGCGCAGAGCATCGGTGCATTATCGGCTTCAAAGGAACATCGATGAATCGATCATCGACATAAACATTTGCCGATACGACGGACAGCACGTGCGTAGCACGTTTTTCTCCATTCTCGCTCACACGAACGAAACTTTCACACGAGATGCGCTCGATTGGGGGGGGGGAGGGGGGCAGTTGTACGAGCCAGACGTATCCAAAGTATCAGACACTGGTGGACCGTCGCGGGGTCGAGAGAACGAGACGAACCGATGAGACTCCGTAACTAAATGCGCGGAGTGAGAAGGAGAGATGAAAAGGGAGAGAAAGAAAAAAAAATACAGAACGGGCGACACGGGATGGGGCACTGGCCGTTTCGAAGCAGGATGTGCTGTATCTCATCGTGCGTAAAAGGCCCCGCGGGTATAGCGGGCCCCCGTGATAATCGGAGGCTGAATGATCAGGGGGCCCCGTGACGGGGCAATGGCGTATTCAGGCCGATTGCACTCGATCAAGATGAGTCGACATTGCGTAATAGTAGATTCCATTGCTATTTGATATATTTCGACTCCTATATCTCTCTGATGTATATAGAAACAATTACAAAAGTTTGATTAGTGGTACGAAATATCATTAATTTAGAAAGATCAAAGAAAATTTTAAGGGAAGAATAGATTTTTGATATTTAATTGTAAAATATTTTTTGATAATTAAATTGTTGACAAAAAATTTCATTCAAATTTTAAATTTGATTCTGTGTATGTCTGAAATAGTTGAGAAGGATATATGGAATTAAAGTTACTCTTCGGAATCCAAAAGAGAGGTGTGGGTTGGACTTAATCGGTCGTTTTGGCAAGAGAGTTAGCGCGACTCACCGACAAATCCACCTCCGTACTAATCAGCACGATTAAGAGGTACATACCATTAGTCTGGGATGATTGCCAAATCGGAATAAAAACTACGGCAGCAAATGTGTGAAGATGGCACTTTTAATTTATAACTTTATTATACACTGCTTCGCGGGGGTCTCACAATATCTCCGATATTAGCGATCATTAATACAATATAATGCCATCGTGAGTGATTTAATGCAGGCTCCAATCGGTGAGGATTCACGCGTGTGTATACGCGACTTTTATATGCAAATCTCGTCACTCGTAGATGGGCTTAACGCGACATGTTTACGAGTATCGCAAAGCAATAACTTCCCGCGATTACGAGTAAACGTCAGCGGTCTTGGGGCTCGCGCTTTATTTATCGCACCTTGATAGCTTAGATTTTTTAGACCGGAAACTGGTTCAATTATGTTAAGTATATACTTCCCTGTTCGTACTTGGAATTTACATTGCTGTCTCATTTCTACTAACTAGCTCAAATAATTTGCATATATAACTCAAATAAAATATGTATAAATATATACATTTATTTAGCTGTGGGTAGTTCTTTTCAAATGCATTCTATGATATTGATTACATAGAGTTCAACAAAAAATAACTTAAGTTAAAGAGACTATGAGAAAAAAAATGATTATTCCCTTTCTTATAGATTTATTAATTGTATATTTTTTATTCTTTTCTGTCTAATAAACATTTACAGATCCTTTAATATACATATATATAAACTTGTATCTTTAAATATGTACTTTCAATATATAATTTAAATAATAAATAATAATTTAAATAATAATTTAAATAAATATTTTTAAATCCTCCAGTCATTGCGACTAAATTTTTTTCGGCGTTATCATCGATTACTTCGATTGAATGTAACATGCGTTTCGATGCGCATCCCCGACGTGAGCAAGGACCGAGAAAACCGATATTTTCGCGCCCTGCACGAGCCCTTTCTCGACCCCGCAATTTTTCATCGCCGCGCCGTTTCATCGAAAAACCATCGCGGACTCGATTACGAAACGAATATCGGTGTGATTTTGAGGGCGTTTTCACCTATCCACCGTTCCATTGTCCACCGCGGAATTATTTATAGGCGAGGAATGACCAATCACAATTTACATCAGCGGTTACGCGTCTCAAAATAAGCGACGGTGTGGTTCATTGTGCGCCTCGTCGTAAACATTGGCTCACGTGTATCCCGTCCGTGTTTATGTCCCTTTTTGTATACACGCGTGTGTCTCTCTGTATGCATGTGTGCGATCTCGTTGCGTTTCTGTTGTATGACTGGGTACATACGCGATTTGCAAGCAAAGGCACACATAGTTGCACAAGCCAATCCCGGTCTCCGATTCTCGAGGCGTGAAGAGTAGATCGTGACGATGCAGATTTAATCGCAAGTGTCGAATGATTCTCTCGGGCCACATTGTATTTGAAATGTAATATTGTATAATGCTGTGTTTGTAATAAGAACAGCGTATTTTAGTATTACCGGATGTACTTCCAGCCCAGTCACATGATAAAGAAATTTGCGGAGTTTTAATTTTTGGCTAGTAAAAAATATTATAAAAAAATCTGTTAGTTGTGTCTTGTTTTCGATACATTTTTTGGTAATTAAATCGATATGGATTAAATATGAAAGTCGAATTATATAATTAACCGAAACATATAATTACATAAAGTTAACTCTATATATTCGATGAATTAAATTATTACATTGGATATTTTATCACCAATTTAATTCAATTTATAACGAATATACATTTAATATAAATTATAGCGAATAAACTATATATGTACATCACATACATAAATGCATAAAGAAGTTTAAGATAAACTTTCAAATAACAGACGTCGTTTATTTGTAAACTTAACAAAGACATATTCAATTCTACGTATGGTGCAGTTGGTTTGCGTTCGATACGTCATAACTGCGCCTGCAAAAGCGTTGCTTGTACACTGGGGAGAGACAGCGAGAACACACATTGTAATTCGAATAAATGGATTCCTAAATATCGACATTCAGGACGCTTGGATGCGACTATTGTTCGCACGATCATAAATTCACGCGTATTTTCGCAACCAATCTCTCTCGCTCTCCACAGAGTTGCACATTTAGGGCATCGCGGTTCATACGTACCTACGTAGAGCTGCACATGACAGCGCATAAATTCGAAAGTGTCATTTGTCATGTGAAAAAGTCTAAACAAATAAATTTTCTCCCTATATTTGTATTTTTTCGACGTTAATCCCAAGGATAATATTTCCTCCCGAAAATGCTGAAATTTATTTCGACACGCATGTATAGAACGGACATGGCAATGCATCTATAATTGTTACTTTTGACCTCATAAATCAGAACAAGCTTTTATAATAAATTCTAGATAAATTTAAATGATCCATACACGATTCATAAAAATGTGAAAAATAAATGGTCAATTATAAATTATATAAGTAGAGCTGCACATGACAGCGCATAAATTCGAAAGTGTCATTTGTCATGTGAAAATGTCTAAACAAATAAATTTTCTCCCTATATTTGTATTTTTTTCGACGTTAATCCCAAGGATAATATTTCCTCCCGAAAATGTTGAAATTTATTTCGACACGCATGTATAGAACGGACATGGCAATGCATCTATAATTGTTACTTTTGACCTCATAAATCAGAACAAGCTTTTATAATAAATTCTAGATAAATTTAAATGATCCATACACGATTCATAAAAATGTGAAAAATAAATGGTCAATTATAAATTATATAAATGATGTAAATTAATTTATGTCATAGATATTAATGAAATAAATTCTTCAGAATATATATCAAGATAATATTCTTCTTACACAGATAATAGATACGATTTTCTCTGAATGTCCGTATGGTTAAAAGAAAACTAAAATAATATGCTATTAGGAAACTGTGACAGGCCTCTTGATGAGACAAGCCGACTTGCATTGAATTATTCAGCCGCCATAAATGGAACAGCGTCGAATCGATCCGGCTGCTACTCGCGTTTAATGATTTGCATAAGAAAAGTATCTAGGAAAGTTCGAATATAATACCACGATATACGTCTTTTAACTGAGCCAACATCTTCATAAATATTTCACCGTCCTAGTTTATCAATCAATCGCAAGTTTCTAAGCAAGTGTCACGTTCATCATATATTTCATGGAAACTTTGCAATATGCGCTTGATACCGAGTGACTCGAATAACTTCGGTTACCATCGCCGTTTATGGTCGCTGCACCTGCAGTTTACCATGATACACAATTTAATTTACTATTATTAATCATTAGTACTAACTATAAGTAGCATGATAAATAGTACAATTTCAAATTAGTTATATATACATTTTTATATATTTCAAAGTTTTTATATTTCTTGCAACGGAGAAATACTGTTATACCAAACAAGCCAATCTTTTTTTTTTCAGAACAAAACCATCACCGATTGTCGACGGATGAAATTCGATGCATTATGCAATGTGCATAAACACGAGCGTGCAGTCACTGTGGACAGTATACAAATGAGGTGGGTCTTCGAAGTGTCGACATACGAACAGCATAGGGAAATATCGCCGATTTCTCCGCACGAATCTCTTCCACTTCGAATAGCTCGTCCGCCGTATAATTTCCGCGTCCGAAGCTATTTCTATTTTAATAAAGCCGTTATTTTTTTTTTCTGGCGGGACGCAGCGGCGACCGCGACAGTAGTTTCCGTTCCGCTGCGCATGAAATAAAATGCACGATAAAAGCTTGAATTCTGATGCGCTTTGCTTTAATTAAATTTATCGCCACCGGTCCTAACAATAAAAGCGATTTATATTGTCACGAAATATAATAAAATATTATATATTGTATATATATAATATTGGATTATTCGGAAAGTTTTTTTTCTTGTTTTTTTCCTATGAAATTTATAAAATAAATAAATATAAACCAAAAAAACTTTCCACACAATTCAATATATTTGCCAAAATAATAAAATATACAATAGTAATTTAACATCTTTCTATATTGAAAACTTGTAATAATTTGAAAAATTTTAATATATTTATATTATATATTTTTTTTATAAGAATATGTATTCGTCACTCGTAGATGGGCTTAACGCGACATGTTTACGAGTATCGCAAAGCAATAACTTCCCGCGATTACGAGTAAACGTCAGCGGTCTTGGGGCTCGCGCTTTATTTATCGCACCTTGATAGCTTAGATTTTTTAGACCGGAAACTGGTTCAATTATGTTAAGTATATACTTCCCTGTTCGTACTTGGAATTTACATTGCTGTCTCATTTCTACTAAGTAGCTCAAATAATTTGCATATATAACTCAAATAAAATATGTATAAATATATACATTTATTTAGCTGTGGGTAGTTCTTTTCAAATGCATTCTATGATATTGATTACATAGAGTTCAACAAAAAATAACTTAAGTTAAAGAGACTATGAGAAAAAAAATGATTATTCCCTTTCTTATAGATTTATTAATTGTATATTTTTTATTCTTTTCTGTCTAATAAACATTTACAGATCCTTTAATATACATATATATAAACTTGTATCTTTAAATATGTACTTTCAATATATAATTTAAATAATAAATAATAATTTAAATAATAATTTAAATAAATATTTTTAAATCCTCCAGTCATTGCGACTAAATTTTTTTCGGCGTTATCATCGATTACTTCGATTGAATGTAACATGCGTTTCGATGCGCATCCCCGACGTGAGCAAGGACCGAGAAAACCGATATTTTCGCGCCCTGCACGAGCCCTTTCTCGACCCCGCAATTTTTCATCGCCGCGCCGTTTCATCGAAAAACCATCGCGGACTCGATTACGAAACGAATATCGGTGTGATTTTGAGGGCGTTTTCACCTATCCACCGTTCCATTGTCCACCGCGGAATTATTTATAGGCGAGGAATGACCAATCACAATTTACATCAGCGGTTACGCGTCTCAAAATAAGCGACGGTGTGGTTCATTGTGCGCCTCGTCGTAAACATTGGCTCACGTGTATCCCGTCCGTGTTTATGTCCCTTTTTGTATACACGCGTGTGTCTCTCTGTATGCATGTGTGCGATCTCGTTGCGTTTCTGTTGTATGACTGGGTACATACGCGATTTGCAAGCAAAGGCACACATAGTTGCACAAGCCAATCCCGGTCTCCGATTCTCGAGGCGTGAAGAGTAGATCGTGACGATGCAGATTTAATCGCAAGTGTCGAATGATTCTCTCGGGCCACATTGTATTTGAAATGTAATATTGTATAATGCTGTGTTTGTAATAAGAACAGCGTATTTTAGTATTACCGGATGTACTTCCAGCCCAGTCACATGATAAAGAAATTTGCGGAGTTTTAATTTTTGGCTAGTAAAAAATATTATAAAAAAAGCTGTTAGTTGTGTCTTGTTTTCGATACATTTTTTGGTAATTAAATCGATATGGATTAAATATGAAAGTCGAATTATATAATTAACCGAAACATATAATTACATAAAGTTAACTCTATATATTCGATGAATTAAATTATTACATTGGATATTTTATCACCAATTTAATTCAATTTATAACGAATATACATTTAATATAAATTATAGCGAATAAACTATATATGTACATCACATACATAAATGCATAAAGAAGTTTAAGATAAACTTTCAAATAACAGACGTCGTTTATTTGTAAACTTAACAAAGACATATTCAATTCTACGTATGGTGCAGTTGGTTTGCGTTCGATACGTCATAACTGCGCCTGCAAAAGCGTTGCTTGTACACTGGGGAGAGACAGCGAGAACACACATTGTAATTCGAATAAATGGATTCCTAAATATCGACATTCAGGACGCTTGGATGCGACTATTGTTCGCACGATCATAAATTCACGCGTATTTTCGCAACCAATCTCTCTCGCTCTCCACAGAGTTGCACATTTAGGGCATCGCGGTTCATACGTACCTACGTAGAGCTGCACATGACAGCGCATAAATTCGAAAGTGTCATTTGTCATGTGAAAAAGTCTAAACAAATAAATTTTCTCCCTATATTTGTATTTTTTCGACGTTAATCCCAAGGATAATATTTCCTCCCGAAAATGCTGAAATTTATTTCGACACGCATGTATAGAACGGACATGGCAATGCATCTATAATTGTTACTTTTGACCTCATAAATCAGAACAAGCTTTTATAATAAATTCTAGATAAATTTAAATGATCCATACACGATTCATAAAAATGTGAAAAATAAATGGTCAATTATAAATTATATAAATGATGTAAATTAATTTATGTCATAGATATTAATGAAATAAATTCTTCAGAATATATATCAAGATTATATTCTTCTTACACAGATAATAGATACGATTTTCTCTGAATGTCCGTATGGTTAAAAGAAAACTAAAATAATATGCTATTAGGAAACTGTGACAGGCCTCTTGATGAGACAAGCCGACTTGCATTGAATTATTCAGCCGCCATAAATGGAACAGCGTCGAATCGATCCGGCTGCTACTCGCGTTTAATGATTTGCATAAGAAAAGTATCTAGGAAAGTTCGAATATAATACCACGATATACGTCTTTTAACTGAGCCAACATCTTCATAAATATTTCACCGTCCTAGTTTATCAATCAATCGCAAGTTTCTAAGCAAGTGTCACGTTCATCATATATTTCATGGAAACTTTGCAATATGCGCTTGATACCGAGTGACTCGAATAACTTCGGTTACCATCGCCGTTTATGGTCGCTGCACCTGCAGTTTACCATGATACACAATTTAATTTACTATTATTAATCATTAGTACTAACTATAAGTAGCATGATAAATAGTACAATTTCAAATTAGTTATATATACATTTTTATATATTTCAAAGTTTTTATATTTCTTGCAACGGAGAAATACTGTTATACCAAACAAGCCAATCTTTTTTTTTTCAGAACAAAACCATCACCGATTGTCGACGGATGAAATTCGATGCATTATGCAATGTGCATAAACACGAGCGTGCAGTCACTGTGGACAGTATACAAATGAGGTGGGTCTTCGAAGTGTCGACATACGAACAGCATAGGGAAATATCGCCGATTTCTCCGCACGAATCTCTTCCACTTCGAATAGCTCGTCCGCCGTATAATTTCCGCGTCCGAAGCTATTTCTATTTTAATAAAGCCGTTATTTTTTTTTTCTGGCGGGACGCAGCGGCGACCGCGACAGTAGTTTCCGTTCCGCTGCGCATGAAATAAAATGCACGATAAAAGCTTGAATTCTGATGCGCTTTGCTTTAATTAAATTTATCGCCACCGGTCCTAACAATAAAAGCGATTTATATTGTCACGAAATATAATAAAATATTATATATTGTATATATATAATATTGGATTATTCGGAAAGTTTTTTTTCTTGTTTTTTTCCTATGAAATTTATAAAATAAATAAATATAAACCAAAAAAACTTTCCACACAATTCAATATATTTGCCAAAATAATAAAATATACAATAGTAATTTAACATCTTTCTATATTGAAAACTTGTAATAATTTGAAAAATTTTAATATATTTATATTATATATTTTTTTTATAAGAATATGTATTTTAATCAATAATATTATCGTGTAATGAAAAAAGATGTGGAACAAAGCTGTGTTATTATATGTTCATGGCACACAATACTTCGTATATTCATATTTTTCTTTCAGCTTTTAATAAAAAACGGACCCTGCGATGCGATCTCATAAACCGCAGAAGATGAAAACGCCTCCATGTGTCTTATTCGGTATTCCGAGGGGTAACCGTGTCGCAAATCTCCCCGTCATTTTTCCTGTCTGCATTTTGATAACCTTGTCACCAGCGTTTTATAATCGCAGATTAACGACCACGTCACATGAAATAAATCAAGTAAAATTGATCAGACATGCTAGTTTCATGCGCATAAGTTAGAAGAGTTTATCGGATAAGAATGAGGGTGCATAGACCCTAAAAAACTCGTGCCTTCTATTATTTCTGGCGGGACGCAGCGGCGACCGCGACAGTAGTTTCCGTTCCGCTGCGCATGAAATAAAATGCACGATAAAAGCTTGAATTCTGATGCGCTTTGCTTTAATTAAATTTATCGCCACCGGTCCTAACAATAAAAGCGATTTATATTGTCACGAAATATAATAAAATATTATATATTGTATATACGATAAAAGTGATGCGCTTTGCTTTAATTAAATTTATCGCCACCGGTCCTAACAATAAAAGCGATTTATATTGTCACGAAATATAATAAATATAATAAA